ACACACACATTCTCTTCATCTCAATAATCAATCCCAAAAAAAAAAAAGTTTGATTTAAAGCCTAGATATGGTCAAAATGTGTTCACTCTAACAACAAATTTATAGACCATTCATTTGGTGAATTTCAATATCTTAACCTTTATCAAAATGGACAATTTATATTAATTGGGCTAAAAAAGTACTTTCTAGATTTCATTTTCAATTTTTTTTTGTTGTGATTTTTCATTAGAATGAAAAATGTACATTTCAAAATTTGGATCAAACAAATGGCCCTAAAATAGTTTTTGAATATTGTTGCATTATATTATTAAGCAACCGTTGCATGAAATCATTGCTCTCTCTCTCTCTCGCTCTCTCTCTCTCTCTCTCTCTTTATATATATATATATGAAATGATCCTGTGAGCCAGTGGGCTCACAAGAAAAAATGAGCTCAACGGCCCAGATTGAATATGGGCCGATCTGACAATCACGGATATTCGGTAGTGTTTGAATTTTAATTTTTTTCTATAAATACAAATTATTTGAAATTTTAGACTTGTGTTTTTCTCATCAAGCTGCACCTAATAAGAAATAAAAATATAATAAAAAAAAGATCAAAATACCCTAGAAATTTTATGGGGGTATTTTTGGTTAATTTGTTTCATGTAAAATAGTTTTTTGATATTTTTCAAAGATTTACCAATTTTTAATGAACACATGATTAAATTTCAAGTGATTTGGATTTGTAAAAAAAACAATTAAAATTCAAACACTATCGGGCATCCGAGATCGTCAGATCGGTTCAGATTTAGCCTTGGGCTCTTTTTTACTTGTGAGCCCACTGGCTTACAGGATCATTTTCCATATATATATATGAGTGGATTCTGTACGCCCACTAGTTGATCGCTACATTAAATGCGAATGGCCCAAATTGAATCTAGATCGATCTGACGGTCATGATCTCTTTTTGTGTTTGAATTTTAATTTTTTTTTATATATTCAAGTCACTTGAAATTTTAGATGTATATTTTTCTCATCAAGGCACACTTAATAAAAAATAATAATAATCCGCCAAAACAAATGATCAAAATACCTTTGAAACTTTACAAGGGTATTTTGGTTAATTTTTTTCATGTAAAATATTTTTTTTATATTTTCACAGATTCAACTATTTTTTATATACACACGCTCCAAATTTCAAATCAATCTGATTTGTAAAAAAAAAATAATTAAAATTCAAACACTACTAAACATTCGGGATCATCAGATCGGCTTAGATTCAGTCTGGCCGTTGGCGTTTACTGCAGCAGTACACGCTTGGGCTGACAAGATCTTTTCCCTATATATATATATATATATATTTATGGAAAACACAACGAAACATCTATAGGTGAAGTTCTACAGTACTTCACCAACGACTTTATCACCGTTCAAAGTTTATCACATGATCATAAATGTTTGATAGTGTTTTAATTTTAATATTTTTTTACAAATCATAATGAACTAAAATTAGGTCTGTGTGCCTTAGTGAGATGCACATGAATAAAATATAAAACAAATAATTTGAATGACAAAAATTACGTATAATACCCCATTAAAGTTCTAGGGGTTTGTCATTTTATTTTATGACTATTATTTTTGTAATATTTTATTTTAGTGCGATTTGGTTATATGTACACATGTCCCAAATTTTAGATAAATTTGATTAGTACAATAATTATAAAAATTTAAATACTATCGGATAATTGTGACCGTGTGATGAACTTTCGACGGTGATGAAGTGTTGGTGAAGTACTATAGAACTTCATCTATAAACATTTTGTAGATGCTTGATATATATATATATATATATATAAAATAATGATCCTATAGGACCCTCCTAAATTTAAATGGTGAGCCTTCGAGGTCCTACACACATGGGTGGGGGAGGGTCCTTTAGGATCATTCTTTTTATATATATATAGATATATATCTATATATAGATGCTTTACATATTGATGGGCTGTGTCACGTGTAAATGAGCAAAATTGTGGCATAAAAAAGAACTTTTTATTTCGATAATTATTTGCCTTGATGGATTGCTTGCACACTTTCTTTCTCTCATTATAATTTTTCCCTTTTTACATGTTCTCTTTTTTTTTTTGACAAAATTACAAAGATTTCATTAATACGTCAAAGACAACATTACGTAATTACAACAATTACTTAAAAATTTAAGGTCTCAAAAGTAAGCATCCAACCCAATTGAACACCTCTATTTGCTAGGCGATTTCATTCGCCTCTCTATAAACATGATGGAATGATACTTTCAACTGAACGCTAATATCCATAATCTTCATCCATTTATTTCGAAGCCTCCATGGTGATCGAGAAAGCTTGCTACACCAATGTGGTTAGGTGCCTCGATTTAGCCCTCCAGGTCGGGATGACCTGGCGGCACGTGTCTCGGGTTTTAGGGAAACCTGGGACTTGAGACCGCTCTCTCAGGAACCTTGTTAGGAAACAAGGGCAGGTATACCAACCGATGAGAGATGAATTTTAATGTGAGACGGGACACACCTCACCAGGGTCCATGACTCACTCGGGTTGACTCGCGTGGGTGCCCACTTAGAACATGTCGCAAAGCCCCTAGTCTTACGATTGGTTCGGAATTGTCTCCCTTGGCCTGTACTCTCCTATTTCTGCAATCACAGACAAATGGTCAATTTTTCAAGACAAGTGAGCCAAGGGACCCCACCTTTGTCTTTGGGAGAATGCACACGGGCATGCACATTCAAAAGAAGAAAGGGAAGGAATGAGATGAAGATTAGGGGTGATAAGAGGAGAAGAAATAGATAGAATAGAGGAAAGGGGAAGAGGAGAATTTGACCAAGTGGTTAGACTAAGCAGCAAGTGATTGACCCGACGTGGTAGCAAGATGGGTACAGTAATTCAGACCGCTACGGCGACAATACCGCTCGACGACAGAACGATCACCGGCCAGTCTTGACACGATGGCTAGCTTTGTGGCAGTAAGTCGGACACGGTTACTCAGACAGGCACAACGGCAATATTGCTAGACGACCGGACTACCATGACAATGCTTATCTTAACTGTCATTGGTTAAATAAGAGAGGAAGAAGAAAGAAGAGAGCTGAAAGAGAGGGAGAAGCGAATATAGAAAAGGAGAGAAGTAAAAAGTAAGAAGAGAGAGAAAGAAAAAGGAAGGGAGGAGAGAAACATAGACGACGATGAGGTTCCACATTCCATAACAGAGGAGGGAGAAAGGAAAGAAAGCATGAACGACGATGAGGTCATGTCGTTCATGACAGAGGAGAGAGAATAAAGACAGGAACATGGATGGAAATGGGGTTCCGTCATCTATGACTGAGGAGTGAGAAGAAAGAGGAAAACATGGACGGCGATGAGGTTCTGCTGTCGATGACTGAGGGGTGAGAAAATAGAAGAAAGCATGGACGACGATGGGGTTTCGCTGTTCATGATAGAGGAGAGAGAGAAGAAGAAGATATGGACAACGATGGGGTTCCGCTGTCCATAACCAAGGAGAGAAAGGGATAAGAAACATAGACGACGATGGGACTCCGCCGTCCATGACAGAAGAGAGAGAGAAGAATAAGACATAGACGACGATAGGGTTCTGTCATCCATGAGAGAGGAGAGAGAAATAGAAGAAACTATAGATGGCGATGAGGTTCTGCTGTCCATGACATAGGAGAGAGAAAATAAAAGATATAGACGATGATGGTGCCATCCATGACAGAGGAGAGAGAACGACAAGAAAATATGGACGGTGATGAGGTTTCACCGTCCATGATAGAGGAGAGAGAGGAGAAAGAGAACATGGACGGCGATGAGGTTCCGCTGTCCATGATAGAGGAGAAAGAAAGTAGAAGAAAATATGAATAGTGATGAGGTTTTGTCATCCATGACAGAGGAGAGAGGAGAAGAAAATATAGACGGTAATGGGGTTACATCGTCCATGAGAGAGGA